GTTGCTGTCACAACTGACTGCATACACAAATAGATGCTTAGATTTTTCTTTGGTTTTGTTTTCTTTTGCTTTGGTTGGTTTTGTATTATTTTGCTTTTCATGACAGCATTCATTTTGTAAGGCAAAGACAAAAAAAAACAACAAACCCTTGGACCGACTCGAGTTTTCATATCAGCAGAAGGCATTTCTACAGCTTTTGTCAAACTTAGCCAGTCTGTAAAGATTCATTGTTTCTGGCTGACTGTTGTGGCAAGTGAGTCCATAAGCTACCAGGAATACAGGAGAGAATTATTTCTATTCAGAGAGAGGGGTAGGATATGGTGCATAGAGCTAGTGTTGAAAAGGGTTTTGTTTTTTCAGCATGATGGAAATATACATTCAGATGCTGCCCTGTGTTATTTAGCATGCTGTAGTTAAACAATGGGGCATGCCAGCCTTCACGGCTGTGTTAACTAATGCATTCCTTGAATGTGTTGATTAATGTGTTCCTAGGATGCCTCCTTAAGCTGCCACCACAGCTGAGGTGTGTCCAATGGGCCTCCTTGCCGGCTGCTGCCTGATTCACCTGGGCCCATTTGCACATGGGTCTTCTGTGTGTTTATTTCACACCAGTGCCTTTATAAATAAAACCATAGATCTAGCAGATATTTTATGCAGGAACATTTCCCCTATAAAAGTGGGCTGCACTTTGGTAGAGAGTCTACAAACCTTTTAAGTTCACAGCAAGAATGTTCTTCTAGTAAACAAATGCACAGTGGTATTTACCTGTCCTCTGCACATTCCTGCCCTGATTTTCATTTTTGCTCTTTTTGAACTTTTCGTAGAGAGAAAACATTGGAATTACAGAGAGAAGTTGGTACTCGAATGATAGAGAAGGAGTTGTGCAAACAGGCCTCTGTCTCCGCTGGAAACCCACTGTTGCCTGAGACAGGGATTCCATCACCCAGCCAGGGCAATTTCATTTCCAGTCTGCTTCCCTCAGGGTTGTGAATTCTTTTGCTGTAGTCTGAATCCCCATTAAACCATATATTTCCTTATAGCGTGTTTCCAAAAAGGCTCATCTTGATGTGGTTCTGTGCAGCTAATAAATTGTAAGGGGATAAATCAGAGGGATACTTTTTTTAAGTTTGTTTAGGATCTTTTAGTCCTTCCTATACACGAGTGCTACTTTAAATATTTTCTGACCATTTAGCACAGTTACTAAAATGGTCAAAGAGCTGTGTTTGAAAGTGGTGGAAAGAGGACCATGGCATCGAAGAAATGGTCAGGTGATTCTGGGGTGATGGTCTTGCCTGCTGTACTTTGAGACCCAGACTATGTAGTATTTTAACAGAGAACGCCATCCATGCTGCCATGCTGCTTTAGCACTGGTGGAAGTAAAACAAAGCAACTAATCTCAATCAAGAGTGAATTTTTGCGTAATAATTACTGTATGCAGCTGTTACGTAGAAGTAACAGAGTCATTACTATGCACCTCATTTAAATCCTGGCATGAAGTTACTGGTGAAGGATGACGTTCTGATATTTTAAGACTAAAAAGAGCCTTTATTCCATCTAGAAACATCAGTGACAAGGCCATTCAAAAGTCTACTTTGGAAGTTCTAGAACACGTATTATTTTGTTAATAATAATTAATTTCAAATTCACAGTTATTTTAAAATGTTGAACTATGTCTGTCTCGCAAGCATACTTGTAGAAATGAGAAAGGAACACAAAATGTTATTATTCCTGTGGCATTTACTTACATATGCCTCTATTTGGAACTCAGTATGCAAAGAACATATGTTTCCATCACAGCAATACAGTTAATATGGAAGACATTTGGTAAAAGTAATCATCTTTGAAACTCATTAGTTTTTCAGAAAACCTTTAATTATGTGATATACTTCAAAGAGAATACATCAAAGCAGCTATCTAAGGGGAAGTTCACATTGTGATTAGACATGCATTTTCTTGGTTTGCTTGAATTCCACAAGAACTGATGGGGTAAACAAAGAGAAGCAGTGAACATGATTAATCTGTTTTTCTACAGAGCTTTTGATACTGTACTGAATAAAAGGCCTGCTGACAGAAGCTGTCATCCTGGTGCAGGGGAGGCCATAGGAACAAGTTATGAAAGGAGAGAATGGAAGTCAGGAAGTGGTCCAACCTGGAGAAGCATGGGGAAATGGTTTCTGCACATTTCCACTTTTATTTATTTATTTATTTGTTTATTTATTTATTTATTTACTTAAAAAGCACAGAGAAGGGGCTGGAGAGATGGCTCAGTGGTTAAGAGCACTGACTGCTCTTGGAGGCCATAGGAACAAGTTATGAAAGGAGAGAATGGAAGTCAGGAAGTGGTCCAACCTGGAGAAGCATGGGGAAATGGTTTCTGCACATTTCCACTTTTATTTATTTATTTATTTGTTTATTTATTTATTTATTTACTTAAAAAGCACAGAGAAGGGGCTGGAGAGATGGCTCAGTGGTTAAGAGCACTGACTGCTCTTGCAGAGGACCTGGGTTCAATTACCAGCACCCACATGGTGGCTAACAACTGTCTATAACTCAAGTTCCGGGGGATCCAATCCCCTCTAATTTAAATGACCTGGAAAATATAAAACTCCTGGTATCCTGTAAAATACTTCTTTATTATGTTATGTTTCCCTTTTTAAAGAATACAGCTACAAATGTGCTTTAATGTAAAACAGTCTTCAAGTTGACTTGGCCTGTAAACTAATGTGAATTGTTCATCTGTTACATATTTTGGAAGACACTTGAAAATTTTGCCATACAGTAGGAAATATAAAAGCATTCTAGCTCTTTGAACCATTCTGAGCACCTCGTTCACTCTGTAAATGCTTTTGAAATTAAATTAACACTTGCTATCTATCTCAACCAAAAGTCCCTCCTCTGGAAAACTTTCCTCCCAGTTTCCTCTCTGGGTTTTCTCATTTGCTCTTGGTATTTGTTGGTTACACAGAGCAGCTTAATGATGAATTGATACACACTTTCATTTTCCTAAGAACAAACCTTTGAATGCTGGCGTTTTCCTTCCTTGGATCAATCCCCAAGTTCAGTGAGAGAATAGATTTCAAATAATTACATTGTAATGTACTTGTTGGCTCTATTCAAGTTGTTTTAATTACCGCAATGCAGCTGCTTTGATCTAGTGAGTGATTGAATATTTAGGGCATAGAAAGATCTTCACTAGAACAGGAAATAACTGAAATACGTCTTTTTACAAAGAGATTTTCCTCATCTGAGAGTCAATGTTTTTTCTCACAAGTAACCACTGGATAAGTTGAGAGACCATTTCCCATAGTTGAATCAACAGTTTCATAATTTTATTGACAGATAATTAAAGTTTGTTCTCAAGTTATTTGCATTTCTTCAATAAAAATAAATACTAACATATGGAACCTACATATAATGCCTGTCTTTTGGCCATCTTCATTAATAGGCATGATTGATTGCTTTATACATGTTATAGAGGAAACTATTCGAGGTCTTAGGAATGTAAACAGCTAGATGTGGCACTTCAGCAACTTGCATTATGTAATGACATTCACACAATTCCACTGTTTGCCTATATAAGCATATACTGGACATGTACATGAAATGAAAGCTCAGAGTAACTTTGAAGTACCATATGACAGAAGCTACAAGTGCCCTGAGAGTTCAAGGGATGGTGCTACCTGGGTTCTAGGAAACTGTCCAAAGTTTATGACTTTGGATTTGAACTGATGAATAAAGAATGATTCTAAAAGTAGTTCAGAAGAATTAAATTAAAAATGTAGATGACTCCTCAGCACCACACAAAGATAAATATACAAATAAATGTAGGAATTAGGGCAGGAAATGTGACAAGTTATTGATCAATAAAGTAGATAAGCATGGTACTTACATATCAATGCAAAAAAGATGAGTGAACCAATTTAAAGCAGAAAGTAGGTGAAAGAAGCAGTTGAAAGTAACTTTGGAGAAGTATCCTTTCCTTCACTTCTTTGTAAATGAATAAACATTCATGAATGAAGGAATGTTTTTCTGGTTTTCATATATTCTCAAAGAGTAACAAGTGAGCCACATTTGAAGTGTATTCAATACCAACTGAAACATAAGACAATTTCTGAAAAAAAAATATGTGTACATTGTGTGTGTGCACATGCATGCATACACAGATGTTCATGCTTTTGTAAAAGTTTAAGCTGATATAAGTGTTGTGATACAACTCTTTATAGGAGTAAGAAGCCAGACTGGGCCAATGTAACAGCACAGGGAGTAAAGTGAAAGACATAGCTCACAATCTGTTGAAGCAGACCTACATGACAGTTGGGAATGAGAAATGAGGAAGAGCAAGGCCTGACCTCTGGTTTAAGACTGGGTCAACTGTGATGCTATGAACCAGAATAGAAAATGCAGAAGAGGCTGCTTTTGATTAACAGTCATTATGAATATATTGAGTTTAAAAAATATCACTGTAGCCATATGTGCTGGTTGGTTTTTGTCAACTTGACACAAACTAGAAACACTTGGGAAGATGGAACCTCAATTGAGTAATTTTCTCCCTGGGATTAGCCTGTAGCCATGTCTGTGAGACATTTCCTTTTTTCTTTATTATTATTATTTTATTTTATGTGTATGAGTATATTGTCTGCATGTATGTAAGTGCATCCATGTGGTGCAATGCCCATGGAGGTCAGAGGAGGGTGTCTGGTTCCCCTGGAACTGGGGTTATGGTTGTTAGCTGCCATGTAGATGCTAAGAATTGAACCTGGGTCCTCTGCAAGAGTTAACTGCTGAGCTTTTTCTCCAGTTTCCTGTGAGGCATTTTTTAATTGCTAATTGATATAAGAGATCCCAGCCCATTGTGGGAAGTGCCATCCTTGGGCAGGTGGAGCTGGGCTGTAAAAAAAAAAAAAAAAAAAAAAAAAACGATAGTTGAGCAATGCAGGAGGAAGCAAGGAAGTAAGCTTCATTAATTCCTACATGGTCTCTATTTCACTTCCCACCTCCAGGTTCCAGCCTTGAGTTCCTGCTTTGGTTTTCCTTGATGACGGACTGTGATGTAGACATGTAAGCCCAATAAATCCTTTCTTCTTCAAGTTGCTTTCTGGTCATCATGTTTATCAGAGCAACAGAAACCAAATTAGTACACTGTACTAGCCTGAGTTTGAATTACATTATTAACCCCTTAAATTCTTGACTGAAAGTTCCTATCATTGTTTTGAAAAGATAAACCGAGCCCAGTATTTTAGGAAACCATGATAAAAGAACAAAAAAGCAGAGGAAAGAGGTTAGTGACTATTGCTTTGGTAGCTACATTTTTACCAAGATCCTAAAACTAGAGGAAAGGCTTTGGGGGTGATAAGTAAAGATGCCAAGAGTCAAGCAGATGTTCTCTAGATAACAGTGACTCCTAGCCCTTTGTTGTTTAAATTCTCCTAGAGCTTTTGTCCTGTCAGTTTCTGAATGCACACCAGTTGAGACATCTCTACCTTCTGGAACTCACGGAACCATGTTAGCAGTACTGATAACTGGCTATCTCTGTTGTCCTAAGTACTGGTGCACATTTTAAAAGTGAGGGATGGTTTTCCAGGGACCCCATGTGAAGAGAATGAATGCCATCTGTCATCTCCAAAAGAAGAACTGATTGTAGAAATACATAAACCTAAAGGTCAAAGACTCTCATTAACTGAATGACCTGGAATGTACCTAACTCGGGCCAAAATGATTTTTCTCAGAGTGATCTGAATAATGAAAATTTTGCCAACAGCAAAAATGAAGTCTAATAGAACACGGCATTCCCAGGGGTCAGTGGCAGTGTTTCTTGAAGCAATAACAAGGGGCAGTAGTTCATTATTACTAAACAGATAACTTTGAGTCAAACCTATAGGAAAGAGCTGCACTGGTTCTCTTATTTTGCGTGACATTGTTTTGCTCTGGGATCACTGTTTGGATAGGGTGATTAGTTAGACACATGCCAAATTATTGAGGTGGTATTTCTGTGAAACATTTCCATCTTAATAATTCTTTCAGATTTATTAAGATGAAAGGCAGCTTGACCTCAGGGCATGCACAAAGATGAATCACAAGCCTCAGAAATGCTATCCTAACGCGATGCGCTGAGTGCAGTAGGAATTCATATCCACTTATGGACAAATTCTGCCATAACTAATGTGCCAAATCATAAATTTAAATGCCCAAATAATATATTATATTCATCAATTTTTCGTTTGTGCTCCTGGGTATTTCTTAATCATGCTCACAGCACTGTCCCTTCATTTTCTATTCAACCACTTGAATGAAAAAGAGGCATATTTCCCCCAAACAGGAAAATCTCCTAATTTCCCTTCTACTTCTTATATACATGAGATAAGCACAAAATAAAAAGTGAAGTGAAATAAAACACCCAAGTACAGCTTGACTTGCCTTTTACTTACTCCATAACAGGGTGGGATTGTAGGAAGTCAGATGGCCCATGCCTGCCTGCTTCCTCTGGCTGACCGTTGCAGTCACATGCTATTGATGCTGATGATTTCTCATGTGCCCAGTGCCAGTACTTAATCAGTTTTTCCTGTCCTCAAAGTCACTGGATAAGTGGAGCGACCATTTCCCATAGTTGAATCAGCAATTTCATAATTTTACTGAAAAAAAATCAAATTTTACCAATAGAAATAAAATATTAAGCTGGGCATGACAGCACACACCTTTAATCCCAGCGCTTGGGAGGCAGAGGCAGAAGGGTCTCTATGAGATGGAGGCCAGCCTGGTCTACATAGACAGTTCTAGGTCAGTCAGGTCTACAAGGAGACCCTGTCTCAAACACCACCACCAACAAAAGTCACTTTAGCAATCTGGGTAGGTATGGAACCTGTTTTCTGCAGAATTACTTTGATACTTAATTTGCTTAATATAAATGTTTTCTGTTGGGGGGAACAAACTTGTTATCTGTTGTCCACATTTGATGTGGCATTGTTCCAAATCTGGTTGACAAAGGATACATTTTGGCATCTGTAATAAATTATACTTATCTGTCGTTAACTAGCTTTTTCTCAAAAAGGATGGGAGGTATTTGTTGTATTTTATTTGTTATTATTCTTTGTGTGTATGAAGTGTATATGTAGGTGTGGGTGTGGGTATGCCATGGCACATGGGGGAGGTCAGAGGACAACTTTGTGGACTTGATTCTCTCTTTCCACCTTTGCGTGGGTTCTAGGAATCAAATTTGGGTTGACAGGCTGAGGCAGAAAACACCTTTACCCACGGAGCCATTTCGCCAGTCCCAGGGCTATAATTTTAAATTATTCAAGTTGCATAGAATTCTTACAGATGATATTAGGAATTTCATTACAGTTTAATTACTTACTAAAATTATTCTTTGGCACTATTTAGTTGTGTATTATGCGTCTGTTCATTGTCGTTGAATATTTAGCCTCTCTTTGTAAAATATAGAGAATCTTGTACAGTTTCCTTTTTATTCTTTAAATAATTATTTTAATGAGAAGTCAAGATTCAATAAGATCTAGTTCTATAGACATATTCAGACAAATAAGTAAAATCCATGTTCTGAATACATGTAAAATAAAATCAATTTTCTTTTTTTAAAAAGGCTTTTTGTTACTGAGTTGCTATATTTTGATTGAAAATATATGAATTTTAAATCATTTTCCAAAGTTGAGCTTCTCTTGACATACAAAGTATTTACCACACCTAAATCAGCACCCTAATTTAAATTTTACAATAAACGAAGAAAAATGGAGAAATTACCAGTTAGAAAGCCAGATTTGTTATAAATTTTGCCTTTCTTTATTAGTAACTTATTCTTCTTCCTGACCAGTGTGCCCACAAGGCTCAACATTTGACATTCTTCTTTTATACGCTCATTTAACAAGCAATTCAGTACTGCTCTGCTTCAGCATGACATGGAGGAGAGGTGTTTTCTAGAAGGGTTTCAATCATTGCAGGAGGCATTTGTCATGTTCTCTGTTGACATATATATGATGTGAAGATTTTTTTTAAACAAAATAGATGTTTATTATAAAAATAGCTTCTGGGATCCTCTAATATTATATTCCATAGACAAATTAGTTTAATTTCATATAATGTATTTTAATTCCTTCCCAGTGGTAATGGCCCTTCTTTAATATTTAATGGGGGGAAATTAATATAGTGTTACAATAGCAGTTGGAAATAAGCAAAAGATTGCCTAAGCAGTAGTTTTTTTAAATACCAGTGGATTTTTTTCTTCTTACTTTTAACCTGTTCCCCAAAATGTGATAACAGAAGTTTTGGGAAGAATTAAATTTGTGTATAGACAATAATATATTTATATCAGAATTAGATATTTCTAGTGATGCATTTTCTACTGTATCAATAATAGTGTCACCAGTTATTAAGGCTTGTCATTCTAAGTGCTTTACGTATTTTATCTCATGTTATCCTCAAACTGGCCTAATATTTATTATATCAAATTATTAATGGGAAAATTGATGTGCAAAATTATGCACCTGCCTTGGATTTTTTGGGTTTTGTTTGTTTTTTTTTTTTTAATCTTTTTTGGACAGGGTTTCCCTATAGCCCCAAGCTGGCCTTGAACTCATAGACATCTGCCTGCCTCTGCCTCCCTAGTGCTGGGATTACCCGGCCTGCCTTGGACACAGAGATTGTAAACAGTAAAGCAGAGATTCAAACCATCACAGTCCAAGTTCAGGATACAAGCTACATCACATCTATGCCTGGGCAAGAAGCAGTCCAGCAGGATCCTTAATTACTGCATAAGAGTAGCAGTTGGCCTCCTGAGTTCTGGTCAATATGCTGTGTGTACATGACAAATAAGGTCTTTTATAAAAGTCAAAACTATGACCCTCCTGCCCATTCATATTGAATAATAAATCCAAAGGCTGTCAAAGTGGTTCCACGGCACCTGTGGCTCTAAATAGCTCTCTCATTTTCATGTGCTTCCTGAAGAATAAATAGGTGCTACCAAAAGAAGGAATAACTTCTAAGCCAAACATCGGTGCATGGTTAGGTGTGCTCACCTTCTACAGGATGATGTGACAGCAGTGCTGGGCTTTCTTGCTCTTTTGCCTCTGATTCTTTCTAAAAAAAAAAATATATACTCTTGGAATTTAGTGTTACTGTGGTTTGCTCATAGATTATAACTTTTGTCTGCAGTAATAAATAGTCATAATTAAAGCTTACTGGTCTTGTTTTGTATTGAGACAAGATCAAGTAACTCTCCTACCTCAACTTCTTGAGTTAACTGGGACTACAGCTGTGTGCTTGCTTTTTGACCTTGCTCCTTCATCATGTCATCTCTTCCCTCTTTCCTGGAACCCAAGCCCTGTTCTACTCACTCAGCATTTTATTTTATTTTGAAGTTTATTTATTTGTGTGTGTGTGTGTGTGTGTGACTATATGTACACATGTGTGCATGCATGTGCAGCATTTAGCTTGTTATGTGGGTGCTGGGATCTGAACTCGAGTCCTCATGATTTCACAGCAATCACTTGTAACTGCTGAGCTGTCTCTCCAGCCCCTCACTCAGGACTTTAAAGGCAGCTAGCTCTTCATTGCTTCTCAGAAGAAACCAACTGCTTGAATGAAAATATCCTGAAATCCATTGGTTTATATAATAAATATACAATAATTTTAAAAAAGAATCCTAGATACCCATATCCACAAAGAATCTCTTAGTATAAGAAAGTTGAGCAAACTTGCAGAATACATAATAAGCACATGAAAATCAATGACATCTGTATACTAAAAATGAAAACATAAAAAAATTAAACCAAATACTGTTAATAATTGACAAAGATTCTGTCCTTGACCAAACTTTTGTTCAGTTTCTCTGAACTCACTTCCCAGCTAGTCCCCAACCCTGCCTGGCCTACCTTTAGCAACAAATTTTGAAAAAATTTTTTAGCAAGAAAACAATGCCTTTACTATCTATCCCCTTCATAGCTTCTTAGCTAATAATGGTTCTCATTTCCCCTTTTGTATAGAGTCTACAGCATGCCTTCAGCAAGAATTACCCTGCTCATGACTTGTCTTAGTTTTCCATCCACTGGTCC